CGTTCACTTATTTGTTATTGAGATTTAGTGAATGACGCGTTGATTTTTATATTTCGATATTATGAAATTACTTCAACGTATCTTCGTTTCTATATATAAATTGATTTCTAAATTGTTAAATATTCATTTCTCATTTCGAATTTATAAATGTAGAATAGAGGTGACAATCAATATGTTTCTTGTTTTTTTTTTTTTTTTTTTTTTTTTTTTAATTATTTCTAAAAATAGTAACAATGACGTTTTGCCTAAAACAATTCTATTTCATGAAGTCAAATTCCCAAATGATAGTTCCAAAGTCGAAATATATTTTAATGAATAGTTCGATATAATTTGTTAACTTTTTTGATCATGAATGATAGAAAACAATGAGAGAGAGGAAAGATCATGATCTCATAAATCTCACGAAACGTTGGCAAAGATTGATAGAAAACAATGAGAAAAAAGAAAATGGGATGGAAAAAAAGTTGCTGAAACATTGAAAGTTCCTTTGATGTGTTTGATACAATTTTGATGCGTTTATCCGATAAAAAAAAAAGAAATATGGTAAAAAATAAATACATTTTACAAACTAAAATAAAAACGTATTAAAATTTATTTTTATTACACTCAATTTCCTAAGTATTTTTATTATCTAAAATATATTTGTATTTAAATAAATCATTCTATTGCATAATCAATTCAAAGTCTATTTTAATTTTCTGCATAAAAAGAAAAAAAAACAAATATTTTTATCAGGCAGATTATTTAATATATTAGAAATAGAGGATCCGATTTTGGAACGCTGTTTTAAAAACATTCATATCTGACACTTCATTAATTCGAAAAATATTTTTCACTGTAATTTTTCATATGAATTCTATCGATATATATATATATATATATATATATATATATATCTTTAGATAACTAATTGGGGAATCTTTTGACGCTAAAAAATTAATTTTAACGTTAACATTAAGAAAGTTATTAGTTAACAAAAAAAAAAAAACTAAAAAAAAAGGAAAAACCAATCGGTAGCCTATTTTGATCTTCATCACATTTTTCTTATTTATTATATAAGAAACTTTTTTTTTATATATCATATAATTTATTAATTTTTTATAATTATATATTTTCAATAATAATTTATTAACTTTTATTAATTATATGATTTAACTAAAAATAGGAATTAATTTTTTAATACAATATTACAATTCGTTATGCAATATTTATAATCGCATGATAACGAAGAGAAAATGTCATTGACGAATTTCTTTTTTTTGCTTTTATATTTTCTTACGCATAATGGATCCATTGTTATTGACTGTTTCTAGTTCACATTTAATTAAAGCGCGCGTTTTAGCGAATGGCTAAAATTAGTGGGTCAGACAGTATTCAACGTCAAAAGACCGAAGCGTGTTTCATTTCACTCAGAATACTCAGATGAAATATTGTACTTTGTTTTGTTTCATTTCTTTTCTTTTTTTTTTTTTTTCTTTTTTTCTTTTTCTCTTTTTCATAGAATTGTTTGCATAGAAAAGCGTGAATAACAAATTATCTTTAATAATTCCTTTCTTTTTCTTATTTCTTCAATTTGCTTTCAAACATTCGATAACAATCAGTATGCGTATGAACGTTCATAATTCTTTCTCTGTCTTTTTCCTTTAATTTACTTTTTCACTTAACAATCCAAACTTCGAAGGAACTTGCGAAATATTTATCAAAAAAAAATTTTATTTATTTTATACAAATAGAAATAATTTCACGTCCATTTAAACAAACTAATCATGATATAACTAATCGTTAGAAATCTCATCGTATCATATTGTATGTCCACACGTTCATACAAATATGTACATATGTATATACATATGTACGTTTCATTTAAAGCGATCACGACGTATCAATATCACAAACTTACTATTTATTAGTTATTAATATCAAGAGAGATAGATAGATAGAGAGAGAGAGAGAGAGAGAGAGAGAGAGAGAGTATACTAATATTAATATATTACTGACATTTGAACACATGCGTGAATGTCTAGTAAGCGTCATAGAGGATACTCGTATAAACATTGGGGATAATTTATCATTAGATATCATGTGAGACATGTCAAATATACACAAGATGTAAAAGTAAAATATAATTATCAGTGTAAGTGTCTTACGTCTCGCATTCGAAACGACGTATATAAAGAAATATATCTGTTAATCTATATTTATACGTAAAATGAAATTAACAAGAAGATATGTGAATGATAAAAGAAATATGAATGAATAAAAGTAATACGAATTTTAATGTATATTGTGTTTGTGCGTCTGTGTTTATCTGTGATAAAAGGAAAGGCGAAGGAGAATGAATTTCTTCGTTTTCATCTTTTTTTTTTTTTTTTTTTTTTTTTTTGTTTTTTTTTTGGATATGGCACGATAGAGAGAAATAGAAAGAAAGAATGAAAGAAAGAGTGAAAGAAAGAGGAAGACGAATATATGTATGCAAGAAGATATTATGGAGCCGATAGGTGCCACCGAACTACCATAAAACGTTTGTTTGCCTACAGAGTTTACACAGCTTTCACAGTCAACGTCGAGTCTTCCGCTCGACTCGGTTGTCGTTGAATGAAATACTAACGATGATGGATGACCAACGATCTCTTTCTTCTTTTACGTAAGCGCACGATAAAAAGGGAGACAAATAGATTGGTCGATGTACTTTAGAAAAAAAAAAAAAAAAAAAAAAAAAAATTTTAAAAAAGGAAAAGGGAGAGAGATCTTTGAGTCGAGAAAATAGAGTAGATTTTTTCTCGTTTCTTTAGCCACAAAGCGTCAGTTTCGAAATTCAAATCGTATCCGAAGAAAAGTTTGTTAGTCTTATGCTCTCTCTCTCTCTCTCTCTGTTTGTCTGTCTATCTCTCTATCTGTCTCTCTCTCTCTCTCTCTCTCTCTCTCTCTCTCTCTTTATCTCTTTTTTTCCGTATCTACTTTTCATTCCCTCTTCATTTTTTTTCCACGTTTACTCTTTTTTCCCGTCTCGAGAAAAACGTTGAAACTTTCAATGCGACGTAACGACGTACGAAAGTTCTACCTTTTTCTCTTTCTCTCTCTCTCTCTCTCTCTCTCTCTCTCTCTCTCTCTCTCTCTCTCTCTTCTGCTCTCTCTCCCTCTCTCGTAATCCACTTTTGCTAGGAATAATTCAAACGAAAATTAAAATGATTAACGATTCATGGAATTCGTGAAATAGATTCCTTTTCTATTTAATTCGTACGATCTAATAGATATCTCTACTTTCAACTATTGGGATTTTTCTCGATTCCCAATCGTATTATCTATAATGAGCTCGTTATAATATTACGAGTAAAATGAAATTTAATGTTCGAACGAATGAAAGAGAAGTGGCGTGTGTAAATGTTCGAAGAACGTTTCATTGACCTTAGATGGTGTCAGCATCTCTCTCTTTTTCTTCCTTTCTCTCTCTCTTTCTCATATCTAGTATCTTTCACGGTTTAACAGAGTGAGAGGAAAGATAGGAGAAGGGGAATGAGAACTTCCAACCCTTCCTCTTATCGCATTAAAAGTCGACGGGCCGACATCTGGACAGGCATTTCGATTTCACCTTCCTATGGAACACACCATTGCTCTTTCCTTTTCTTTTCTCTCTCTCTCTCTCTCTCTCTCTCTCTCTCTTCCTCTCTTTTTCTTTCTTTCTTTCTTTCTTTCTTTTAGATCGAAAAGCGAAACGTCTTTTCGACGTTAGATGAGAACGATATGATCCTCTTAATGTGTCCGATGGCTTACCGGCATTACGATAGCCAATCCCCTCTCTCTTTTTCTTCGTCCTGACTCCAACTCTTTAAGGCTCTGCTAAGGCTTAGTCGAACGAACGAAGCCCTTCTAAGCGTCCACTGACACGCATATCGATGTCTCGCGCATAGATTTTCATATTTTAATGGCCATTCGTCTCGGTTACAAAGATACAGAACGCTTTTATAACTTCGAGACTCATAGTCGATTCGTTCCTTCTTCACTTCAATTTTCTTATCTTCTTTTTTCTTAGAGAATTTCTTTTTTTTTCCTTTTTTTTTTTTTTTTTCTTTTTTTTTCAGTAAGTTAAAACATTAACGATGAAAATTTTCGACCGTGAAATAAGGAAGATATGGGCTTTTTTTCTTTTCTTCTTTTTTTTTTCTTGTTTTCTTCTTTTTTCTTTTTTTTTTTTTTTTGTAACGTTTATATATCTATTCGAAGTTAAAATTAATTAATTGGAATGATTTTATTTATTTATTTATTAAAACGACTTTATATAAAATGATGTGTACATGTTTCTTTGCTAGTAAATTTTCATAATAAATATGATCGGCATTGAAATTATAATAAAATATATATTATTTTATAATACAAGATTGTCTTTTCTTAATATTTTCTTTTTTCTTGATTATTTGTAATTATTTCTTAAAATTGTAACAATGAGATGTTATCTAAAAAGATTTTATTTCACGAAGTTGGATTTACAGATGTTCCAAAATCGAAATACATTTCAATGAATAGTTTCGTGGCTATTCGTTAACTTTTTGATAATAAATGATAGCAAACAATGAGAGAAAGGAAAAATCATGGTCTCATGAATCTCACGAAACGTTGGTAAAATTGTTAGAAGCAATGAGGAAAAAGAAAATGAAATGGAAAAAAGAGTTGCTAAAATATTAAAAGTCATCAATAATTTTGATACATCTGATACAATTTTGATGCGTTTATCCGATAAAAAATATGATAAAAGATAAATACATTTTACAAATTAAACTAACACAACATTTAAAAATTTATCTTTATTACATTCAAATTTCTTAAGTATTTTATCTTATCTAAAATATATTTGTATTTAAATAAATCATTCTATCGCTTAATCAAAAGTTTATTTTAATTTTTTTGCCATAAAAAGAAACGACGAACATTAGAATATTTAATAATAAAAATTATCTTTTCATTTATATATTTTCTTCTTTTTTTTTTTTTTTAACATATATCCAAATTTCTTATTAGTTTCTTTGTTAGAAATATGCTGTATCAAAATGAAGTAATTCATTTCCCGTGTTAGTCGTTCAATTTCTAGGAACTCGTATTGTATAGTTATAGCAAAAACGAGAATAGCACGTGTTTCAGGAAGCTGACTGTCTCTCTCTCTCTCTCTCTCTCTCTCTCTCTCTCTCTCTCTCCCCTTCCCTCTAATAGACCTTTTAGCGAGGCATTTACACATCGTCTCCATCCTCGCAAAACTAAACCTCGCGATTCTCGTGCGAAATCACCGTCGCGATATACCCAGATATACCAAGAAGAGGAAATCAGATCGCCGTTCTCCCGACGACGTGCCATGAGATTTCGACGAGGTAAAGCCAAGTAAGCACATTTGTAAGCCAGAGAGACATTATAATATTCCCCCGTTCTAAAGCAGAGCTTTGTGCTTCTTCGAAAGTAGATAGGTAGGCAGTCAGACAGTCAGGCAGGCAGGCAGGCAGGCAGGCAGGCAGGCAGGCAAGCAAGCAAGCAAGCAGGCAGGCAGGCAGGAAGGAAGGAAGGAAGAAAGGAAGGAAGGTAGGAACGATGAAGAAATGAAGGAAGAAGGGAAAGGACAAGTCAGAAGGGATGCAGGAAGTGTGATACTCGTCTTGTTAGTAGCACAAGATGTCCTCATTATCGCGACTGACGGTGATGATGATGCAGGGACCACGAAGACGTGAATTCCTGACTACTCGTCTTGGATAAACGAGTGGAACTCGTACGAAGGTAGAAATTGGTTGACTGGGATGCTGTGAGAATCGTTCTCTCCCTACTTTATTTCCTCTCTCTCTCTCTCTCTCTCTCTCTCTCTCTCTCTCTTTCTCTAATTTTCTCTGTTTCTCTCGTTCTCGTTCTTCAACTCTCTTGGAAAACGGGACGGAAGAGCTTAAACTCGTTAAGAGGATCCTAAATTCTCGAGAAAACGGAACGACGTCGTGGACACGCTCCTGAATTCCTTCGTAATCTTCGCCTTTAGTACCACGAACGTTGTTTTGCTCCATGACAAAACTATTAAACGTTTAGAATTATAGTTTTATTATCCTACATTTACCATTTTATTCCTCCGATAAAATACTTTCCGATCGTATTTTATCGATATATTTATCAAAATTATAGAATCGATTCGATCGTACATCATATATATATATGTTATATATTTCATATATACATACACACATATATACATAGGTATACATACATATATATATATATGTATGTATGTATATCCCGTTGCAAATCAAATAGAATTGGAACGAGTGTCCAGACGATATACTTCACTTCGTCGGAAAGTTCTCCGAGTGAGTGATGGAAACAGTTCGCATAAAATCGATAGGACGTACTTTGGGGGATCAGAGTACAGAGACAGAGCAGCGTACTTTGGGGGATCGCTCGTTTCATGAAGCCAGCAGCACTGGTGTCAGTTGCAATCAGTGATCCTCTTCGGTGGCTTCGGCTTAACGTCAAAGGTGTTTCAGTCCGGTGTCTCCTTGGATCGTTTACCACGAATACAACGTACTCACTCGTTGAAGTAGTTGATTTCTATGATATTTAACGAGGCAACAGCATTATAATCATTTCATTTGATCTACCAATACGATCCATTATCAAATTTATTTCCTTTGAATGATTTTAAGATATAAAATAAACGATGAATTTTCAATATGATATAGATATAGGCTCAGTAGTTTATTATATTTGCTTCAATAAAAAAAAAAAAAAAAAAAAAAAAAAAAAAAAGAAAAATTAAAAACAGATCAAAATACTATGCAATGCCTGTTATTTATTTTTATTTTTTTCTTTTTTTCTTTTTTTTTTTATTTGCCACATTTTTGTTTCATGATCATTATGGGGTGGAGAGAGGGTGGAGGGGAGGGGACTGAATCTTAGATCCCGAGAAGCCAATTGAAAACTAGAGGGCAAACTCGTTAGAATATTTAAACATCTTGTATTGAAAATTCGACCTACTTTGCTCGGGCAAGTTGACCGGAAAGCTTTGGATGAATGCGCTTCTCCCTTGTGTCCGCCGAGGCGAGTAAATAAGAAATCACGGTGCGATGGGAAGTAAACAGAGGTGAGTGAACGAAGCAAAAGAGAAAAAGAGAGAGAGAGAGAGAGAGAGAGAGAGAAAGATAGCGTGAAAACCAGGTCAGAAATTCTCTGGTCGTGTTGTGAAGACAGGCGAAACACGAGTAATCTGTCGCTCAGTATTTATAAATAATTTAACAAATAAATTATTTAAAAACAGAAAGGAATACGTATATTTATTTACGGATATCAAATTTTCTTACAAAAACATTTCACATTAGATTCTATTAAAAGAAAAGAAGAGAAACACAAGAGTGATTGATCTCATTCATATATGTGTGTGCACGTTAGCGCGCACAAATCTGCACATAACGCATAAACGAACATTCGAATTTAATTTCGATAATCTCGAATTTCGTGCTTTTGTGTGTACTCTCGAAAAAAAAAAGAAAAGAAAAAAAAGAAAGAAAGAAAGAAAGAGAGGAAAAAAAAAAATAATATGCTTTCGACAAATAGAAAATTGTAGAACTCTTGAAGAAATCTCTCTTTCCTTATCCAATTATAATATTTATCTTACGAAACATTAGAATATTATCGCGATGACTTATAGTACAGACTTTAAGCGAGATAAATCTATCAACGTTAAATATATTAACGATCGACGTGTTCCATTGGTTCTAAGAATATTAACAATATCTATCTACTTTAGATTACATCATAATTTCAAAAACTAACAAAGCTTCACTTTGTGAGTTAAAGTTCCACGACGTATTACAAATTCAACGGAGGCCAAAGTTTCCGTTTCTCTCTCGTCGATGCAATCTTGATCTTTTTCTTTCTTCATATCTATCCATCTCTCTCTCTCTCTCTCTCTCTATCTCTCTATCTCTCTATCTCTCTGTCTTTCTTCTTCATGGTATTATGATGAATATCTAGAGAAACATAACAGAGAGTATTTTATACATCGAGGATATAAATAAATGCATAAGGGCAAGAAAATGTCGCTTTTAATATCACGATATCTTTCGAATCTGAACTCCCTTGGGATCCCGCGGTGAGACGACAACAACAACGGCTTTGCCTTATTTTTCTGTTCTCTCCTTTTTTTTTTCTTTTTCTTTTTTTTTTTTGCTCTCTTTTTTTTTTCTCTTTTCTTTTCTATATAGAATAAGGTACGGTTTTCTACCTTCCATTTAGCCACGATAACATACCAACGGACTCGGTGCGTTGTCTCTTTGTTCGATAACGATCTATTTCGATCCGCAAACTGCAAGTATTCTTTTCACTTTGTGAATCGCGAAACGGACCCAAAGGATATACCTAAACAAGCGTTACGTGAGCGATCGAAATGGTCCAGTCGTTTTTTCTTTCTTTCTCTCTCTTTCTCTCTCTCTCTCTCTCTCTCTCTCTTTCTCTGTCTCTGTCTCTGTCTTTATCTCTCTTTCTCTCTTTCAAGTTTCTTGGGTCTCCAATGCATGTAAATGTGATTCCACTGAGGGTAAGACACGAAGAACGTAAGGTCGTCCGAGAGAATGAATCCACGATCGAAAATCTCTGTATAGATCATTCAATTTACTAAATGAAAAGGTTTATAGAGAAAAAGTAAATAGAGAGAGAGATAGAGATAGAGAGAGAGAGAGAGAGAAGAAATAAAGAAAAAAAGGATTCAGAAAACTTGATAAATTGCAACGTATTTATACAGAATAGTAGATTTTTCAATGAGTGATAAGAATATCGAACTCCTTTAAGATTCCTTCGTAGAAAAATTTTAATTTGAATTCCGTAAGATTTTTTAAAAGGATTCTTGAAATTTTCGCGAGAGTTCACAATTTTAAGAATCTAGTAGTTCGATGTGGTATAGTTATGAACTAAAATGTAGAGGAGAGGAGTTTTGTATTCTGACGAAAAAATATTCATGGATGTATTGTAGAATTTTGCAAAAAAAATTTTTTATAGAATAAGACCGCCATCTCGTTCGTCGTAATATTTATTTCATTGAAAATACTCAGTAAATTTATATACGTACGATAACGAAACTCGAGTCGAGTCGAAAGTAAAATGGATAATACATTTACAACGTAACATTTATATCGAACCAAATGAAAAGGTTATAATAAAAGGATGTATGGCATCTTATGGATTGTAATTAAATCGTATCGCGTTCGTAAATTTGTCTTTTCCTTTGAACACATTAGAATTTAATAATAGATTATTATAATGCATAACGTAACGAAATTAGTTCTGTAGGAAAGTTTAGTATCGAACAAGCGAGGACTCAAATAATTGTCGAACGAGGAAAAAAAAAGAAAAGAGAAAATGTATCGAGTAGGTGATTCAGATGACGTCATCTTTCTTTTACCCTTCTTCCTCTTTTTTTTTTTTCTTTTCTTTTTTTTTTTTTTTTTCATTTTTTCTTCATCATCTTCCTCGTTGCAGCACAAGCGGTATGCTCTTCTTCGTCTCTCTTTCTCTCTCTCTCTCTCTCTCTCTCTCTCTCTCTCCCTCTCTTACTTTTACTCTCCTTCAGGCTGTGTCTCGTTACTCCTCTTCTCGCTAGTTTCAAGTCTACAAGTTTATTACTCGTGTTACTTTTGCCGTTGCTCTTATTAAACGTAACGAACATTCCTTCTTGGTATGCCGTACCTCATCCATCTGTTCTGATTTTTCTTTTACTCCATAACGTGTAATAAATGTTTTATAAACGTTGACAATGTTAACGAACGAATTATATCAACGAATATACATGTCTTTTTATCGTTTAGTTATAAACTATAATATATTTTTAAATCGAGAAAATATTTGTATATTGTACAAATGAAATTCTTTATTTCTTAATATTCTCAAATTCGTTATATCGATGTCAAAAGTATCTATTAGCAAAAAGAAAAAGAATTTATTTAATAATTTCAATGAAAAAAAAAAAAAAAAAAAAAAAAAAAGATATAATAAATAAATCAATCAATATATTTCTCTGTATTTTCTACAGTCGATAAGAATCATATAATATTTTATTAAATTCCTGCCCGTTAATTATTATACGTTCGTTTGCTTTGATCAGACAATTTTAATGGGAAATTCTCTTTATCCCATTTAATAGAAAATATTTTTAAGAAGAATTGATATTATACCGAATACGAAGACATACTGAAAGTATTCGTTCATGCAATTCAACAAGTGATCATTGTAAAGAAAAAAAAAAAAAAAAGAAAAAAAAAAAACAGAAGAAAAAAAATAAAAAGATAAAACAAAAAAAAAAGGGAAAAGGAAAAAGAAAGAAAGAGAAAGAGAAAGAAATTCGAAACTTTTCTTCTCTGGCAAAAGGTCAATCTGACTTTTCTGCACTTCTCGTCAATGATCCTGGCTCTGAAATAAGTGGTATCAGTTTGAGAATACTACTTCGTGTAAATCGAGCTTTCTCGTCGAGGAAAAAGAAGGCCACTCCTTCGAAAGTCTCTTCGTCTACTTGTATCTATCCTGATGGTTCTCACGATAACGCGACTTCTTCGAAAATGTTTTCCCCTCTTTCTCTTTCATCGAGGAAAGATTTACTGGTTCGAAGTCCTTCGAAAATTTGTCTCAAGTTATTGTCAGACAATTCTTAAACGTTACTAAAAAATTTATGTACACGATAGAAACAAGGACAAACGAAGTTTCTTCGAAACTCAAAATACTTCCCTTCTCTCACTACCGTTTATCATCTTTTGTTGAGTACACTATGCGTTGAATGATGCCAAAGAAAGGATAAGAAAACTCCTTTCTACATTCGTTTACCGCAAATAGGGAAGAATGAAGAATGACAAGAAACGAAGAAGAAGAAGAAGAAGAAGAAGAAAGAGAGAGAGAGAGAGATAGATAGAAAGAGAGAGTAAAAGAGAGTATAAGAGAGAGAGAGAGAGAGAGAGAGGAGTGACACGTCGATATTCACGCATGTACACTTTAGTATACATTACATTTGTCACATATATGCATACTTACACTCTTTCAATCACATATACGTATATGCACTTGTACGAACATATAGTTAAATGTACGAAGGAGTAGAATGCACGTCGCGTTTCTTCTCACGACGTATCCGAGCAAGCGTATCTCGCATTACGTATTATTCCGTGGAGCATTCTCCGTTTCTCTTTTCCTTTCTCTCCTTTCTCTACGACGCGACGTTTCTGTCTGTATATTCATCTTCACTGAAAACAAGAAGAATTCCTTTTACACCAGTGCCATCTATTTACCATTCCTTTCTTACTGTAAAGAAACTTACGTATACGGGACATTTCCATTACGTCGTTTAAAGGTCGCCACGCGTTTATTAGCGCGAAAACAAAAATAAGAAAAATAAGAGAGAGAGAGAGAGAGAGAGAGGGAGGGAGAGAGAGAGAGAGAAGAAACAATCCTCATCCGCACATCGCAATTTCGATTTAAACAAAATTCATCGATCAACGATATATCACATTCCAAGAGAAATAATTTTAATGAAAACGTAATCATCATTTTATTATTTTCCTAAGAAACAGAAAAAAAAACATACTTGCTTCGATCATCATTTGTATCATTTATTCTACAATAATGTAGGGATATATATATATATATATATATATATTTCAATTATTTATGTTTATTATAAAAAGCAAATGTATGTATATTAAGTCTAAATAATACAGTAAACTAATTCCTTCGAAATATATCATCTTCTATTTTGAAAAAAGTCACTATCTATTGTTCATTTATCAGAAACATAAGAAACTAATTTGCAAGTTTATATTTTTAAAGAAATTAGTATACCTTCTCTGATGATTTTAATCTACTTAAATTAGCTTGATTTGTTAACTATAATATAAAACCAAATTTGATATATTTAAAGCATATATTTGAATATTACGAAGTATATATTTCATATATTACAATGATTTATGATGTAGTTAGTACACATTATAAATAATTAATATAAACATGTATTTTATAAACATCTCGTAAATTTTATAGAAATATTGAAAAAAATTAAAGATCAATTTTTAATCAATTATAGAAATAATTTATAAAATTTTCCATTCACTATTCTTATTTTACAAATCGAGTGAACTTATAATTATTTCTTTTTTTTTTCTTCGTTTCTTTTTTTTTTTTTTTAAATAATAATGAATTTATTTTAATTTATCAATTAGAATTATTTATCTTATCATCTAATATACATATAATTGATTGAAACATTTGGAAGATATAAAAACGTCAAAATGAGATTCAATGATCGATACTCATCGCTTTATTCTAAGTTTATAGAAATCTTCAATTAAGATATTCCTTGTTTTTTGTTCAAAGTCATATTTCATTATTGTTTTAACATAAACTAACGTATTGTATAATTAATATTGAAATAAATAGCTTAAGAAAATTATATAAATTATTATTATTTCATATTCATGATAATAGATATAAATTTTTCAAATTAAAGC